TTTTGCCATTAGAGTAGTTTGAAATCGTTATTCGATAAAAGGATATTAACTGTTTTCATCTGCCTGAAGAAGACAAAAATAGTTTCGTCGAAAGCACTAGTAGTTTATAGCAATACTTGTACATTGTTTAACGTCTGGATGATAATTTTCTCGTTTCTTGCTTTTGAAGTTTTGATTCTTGCAAACAGAATTACTCTATTATACCATAGTTTTCTATAGTCAACAATTGAAAAAAGACAGATTATGCTCCACAAGAATTGACAAATAACGGTTTTCTATGAATTCAGTCATTCTCCTCCATGATAAAAATATTACTTAAACTTTTACTTTTTAATTTTTCATTGGTTTTATGCTTTTTATAGGTTGTATGTATGACAGTGACAGTCTTCACATACTCCATAATCAATGCTAAACTTTGCAAAATGTATGTTTTTTTTTATATATTTTCAGTTTAATGAAAAACGGTCACTCATTGGTGTAACTGTCAAGGAAACATTGTGGGACAAGATTCTTTTTACAAACTTCAACAGTGTGTTCACTGGTATATTTAATTTTTTTTTCATAAGAAATTAAATTGATAGGCAATGATCACTTGCAGGTCACTTGGAAAAACCATAAAATTACAGATTACCAATAATACTCCACGACTGTCTTTAAAAATGCTATGATGCCTTTTGCATCCTTTGAATACAGTATTCAAGCTTTTAAATCCTACTAATTTACTTAATCTTAAACGCACTGTTGAGTTGATATTCTAAAATTTACAAACAAGACAAATGTTAAAACTTGATACTCTTTACTCTTATTCACAAATACAATCATTTGCCATATGTATTGCATTATTTTCCATTTCTGGTGTCATATGACACATGAAATAATGAAAAGTATTCCTTACAATTACAAGCGGAAACATGCTGATTTAAATGGTTAGGATATTGTTACTAGTCTAAAAACAATAATTTAAAATTTAAATTTAGCAACATTTTTTTTTGTTATTGGACAAATATAAATATGAAAACCTAAGTGTTTATAAAAATGCACTGCAGTGAACTAGAAGGACAGGCAGAGTATGTAATAAGCTGGCATCTATAATTTTTGGCAGGAAACTATTCATTGATCAACTTTCCACAATAATTTCAGAAGAATCTGTACTATGTAAAGTCAGGTGAAAATCAGAAATAATTATGGAGAATCCATAATGGCCAGAAACTCTGTGTTAAGTATAAAGCTGAATATCCACTTGAGCAATTTTGGCATGCAATTAGATTTTCAAGCTGAAAGAACTTTATTTTGTAAATCAGATGCAGCTAATCAGCAATGAGTATAAACATGATCGGAAGCTTTAACATCATTTTCTACAAAATGGTTCAGTAAATGGACACTTTAAATGACAAACTAATACATTAAATTCATAATTTTCTGGAAATTTTTGATAAAAATGTGATGGAAAATAAAAAGAGAAAAAATGATAAAAATAATAATAAATCAGCATTTCATTTTATTTTTATCCACAAAGAACAGGTATTTTGCCAGAGGTAGATCTAAAAGTGTACAATGGGAAGGCTAACTCAAAAATGAAAAATATTTAAATTATTATTAAGTACCTTTCATTAACATATGCACACAACAATAATATTGAGACAGGTGCAATAAATCAAATTTTTCATCAAAAATGATTTTCAAAATAACATTTTGAAGTTTCAATGAATAAATTTTATTTATTTTTTGTTATCAATAGAAAGACATGAGCACCAGTAGCTCTCTCTCCTCATACCCACCATTGTATGTTGCTAGGATGACTGCATTTGATTTATTCTCCTTCCTTCCTGCCAGATATCATATGAATAAAGTACAAATTGCATAGTGGTTATCAACTGTGCAAATCATATGGAAGTCATTGATTACATATTGGTTTAGTGTGATGAAATTGTTCATTGGACATCCAGCTTATATTTCCTCTCCCTATAAACATTCACATTGTTTTGACTTAACTCAATTTCTTGAGCTAGTGTTTGAACACTAGCTCAAAAAGGTAAGGTTCATAAGGTTTTTTTTCACACATTCTGCATGAGCAAAGATGTATGTAGTTTTTTAGTTTTATATGTATTCATTATTATTGCATGTATTATAATATTGTAATGTTTGAAGATCAAACAAAATATCACAGCAGAAAATCACAAATATACTTTATTTCAAGGTTGAAAGAAAGCGATAATGATGTCTACTTCCTTCTCACTTTCTCACTTGAAGATGATGATCAAGTCTTTCTTAGAATCTCTAGATGAACTTAGATTTTTAAAGATATATAATGTTATATAAATTTATTAAAAAATTGTTTTGAGGAGAGTGATTACATAAAGAGAAATGAATCTTTATTTTCTGTAATTCTTATCTTGGATTACTCTATTACTTTTTGGATTATAATTCTAGCTAAACAATCTTAATGGAATATTTTAAGTAGTATCAAATATAAGTTTTTCTTCAACATTGTCTCAAAAATTTATTAATCATCATTTTGTACAAATTCAGATCTTCCGTGTCTCGCTTCTAAACAATGATTTATATCCAAAAAAAATTCTTGTAGCTTCATTTTATTCTTAATCATTAGAAATATACTGTATAAACATATAAATTTTTAAACTGCCAGTTACAACTTCCATAATATTACATATATAGTATTGAAATTCAAATTTTACAATTTGTCAATAAAACTTTCCATAAAGGTAACATAGTACCAATGCTTTATGAAGAATATTAGTTTTGAAACATGATATAATGATAAATTTATATCCAGTTTTAAAAATAAAGTTTTCATAAAACTAGAAAAAGTGTGTTCTAATTTGATGATAGAGACAGCTTTTTGAAAAAAATAAAAATAAACTAAACAGTATGAATTAATAAGTTCTTACAAGGCCAATGATCACTTTAAGGATAAATTTGTGTTATTTCAATAACTTCAGAAATTAAACAGTTCTTTAATTAAAAAATTAGGAAAATAAATTAATTTTTACTAAATTGGAATTGTATATTTCACATAAGGAATATTGTAACTTTTCAAATAATTTAGGAATGACAATTTTCTTCTGTTTTATTAAGAATATAACTTAATTTTAAATACCCCCATTCTGCCATTGACAAGTAATGTTTTAGGAGTTTATTATCGTCAAGTTTTTGCAAAAACCTACCTCTGTATATCTTAATTTACAATTAAGATAAAACAGATCGAGAAATGCAGAATAAAAATACAGCAAGGAGATAGTGATTCATTTCAAAATAAAGAAATTCTTCAATTCATAAAGATAAAGAAAAAAAATGAAATTGCTTATTTCTTCTCTTAAAATGTTTATCTATTAGTTTCAAATTTTAAGCTATTGAAGAATATATTTGAAAAAAAAAACTATACATACTGTTATTAATTATATTTAAAAAATTTTAAAATTATTAATATTCCAACTGGATTAACTAGCAAATCTACCTGATGATGATAACATAACAAAATGAATAATAAATTGTTTAAAAAATTTTCAAAACTATATAATTAAAACAAACAGAATTGAAAAAAAATGAAACATTCTACAATTTATGATGATAAATGAAAAAAAAACTTAAGATTAACAATAAAAATAAATAAAAAATTATAAAAGATCAAACTTGCATTTGCAAAATATAGATTATTACAACTTTTCTTTTTAACATTTTATAATATTTTTATTTTACTTTTTTATTTATAAAATTCTGATAATGTCATTCCTCAGAATTCTCCAGTAAACATTAAAAATTAAATCATAAAAGTTCATAATACTGCATGCAGCAATACATAACACACATGTTTTGAAAACTAAAAAATATTTACATTAAACATTATTATATACATTACTATTTTAATTTATAACAATTCTATTTGATTTTACAACTGATACTTTTTATATTTACATATAATAGTTGCAAAAAAATACAGGGAACCTGGTTATCTCGAATTCGTTGAAATGTTTATCTTGAATGGAGTTTTGATATGGTATTTCCATAAATTCTCCAAACTTTTAATTTTAATTTTCTATTAAATAAAATAATTAACATTTATCATTGAAAAAACTAATCAGAAACTTTCTATAAATCACGAGAATGATGTATAGGTAAAAATAAACATTGTGTCATGTGACAGAAAAAGGGTCAGAGGCTTCCAGCTTGTGTGATTCAGATACTCTAACAGCTATTCGAACCTCCTTTTTGTTTTATTTGGTTGCAGATGAATTTCTCCAACTAAATTATGTAATAAATAAATATATTTTTGATAAATTAACTTTAAAAAAATATCACTTTACAATCCTATGTAAAAATTTTAACCTTTGTGGCAAAATTTTAAAAACAACTATTATAGAGTTTTTTCTTTTTTGTGATAAAATACAGCAAACAAGTCGATTCCAGGCACAAAATATTGCAATGAAATATCGTTAATAAACATCTTGGAATGAATGGATCAACAATTAGGGAAATAATTTCTCAGTAGCTTGTTTACCCATTCAGTTAAGCATTTTTGAGTTTCAGAAAAACAGAGAGGTTTACATTGACAACAATTCTACATAATATAAGACCCATGGAATTGTCATATGGATAATTTATTATGGATCACCAAGAAACCAATGCACAAAATCTTGATTTTTAGCTGAACTGTCATAACTTGAAACTTTCTAACTCTAAAATTTTCCCTGACTGATTGAAGTTAACCAGGTTCCAATGTACTCAAATAAAGATATTTTTGTCTACTTTAATATGTAAAATTATTTTCAAATGAAACTTCTATTCTACAAAAAAATTTATATTCATCTAAGATTAAAATAAGCATTTTTATGAAAATTCTAATCAAAATATTTAAATATTATTATCAAAAAATAATTATAAATAATAAATATACCAAAAGTTATATTGGTTATATTATATTATATAAAATATTTTAAAATTATGAATTCTTTAAGTATTAAATATATTAGTTAGTTACTTACGTTGTGACTGTGAAGTGCTCTTTAATTTCATCCTTGCTAATCTTTCTGGAGATGTTACAACACCTCCAGACATTTCAGCACGTTTTGTATTAGGCCTTGCTAAAGAATAAAATTTTAAAAATTTTAATTTTAGGAAAACTTTTATATATATGTAATAATTTTGTAAAATCTTAAATGTTTAATTATCAAATTACTCATAAAACAAAGTATTCTACAATATAATAAAATAATATAATGAAAAAAACTTAAATTTCATACAGGTAAATAATATCATTTTACAAAACAAAAATTAATGAATATAAAGATAAATAACTGTGTAATAAAATATTAATAATAACTGAATTAAATAAAAAGTACTCTTTCTCTTAAGATAAAAATAATATAATAAAGGCCAAGTCACAAATACCCAATATTCATGATAAAATAAATAAATACTTCTAGCAGTTCTAATGCCTTTAACAAAATTATCTATCTATTCTATCTGTTTATGAAAAAACAAATTATAAAGATAGCATTTTAAACAGCCAATATTATTTTCTTCTAGTCATTCAATTTGGCTTTAATAATATTACAATAAATACTTTTTAATACCACAGTTTTCTGCAGATAGCCCATGGAATATCTGTATTTAAAAATCAAACAGAAAGCAGATTCATGTTATGCAAGGATTAAAGTTATCTGCTAACTTTAACTTGCAATTTTGAACTCATCTAACAACTTTTCCACTGTCTAAACTTACTAAATGTATTGATATTTTTAAAACTGAAAAAGCTTTTGCACACTGCAGACACATTCATCTATCATCACAATATTTCCTGAAACTATCAAAGACACACATGTATAATTTGCTTTTAATTCTCTCTTGATCATTTACTGTACATCAATCCATGCTTTAATTAATAATCTTACTCTTCAACTGAAAAATAATAAATTTCCAGTAATTTCTTCTGTCTATATAATAACTCTCAGGAAACTATTCAGAAGTTGTTTTAAAAGTCAACTGCTGAGTTTGTTCTGTTTAAGTTCATTAAAATGAATAAAATGTTCAGAAGCTGAATGATCAAACACTCAAACACATGACATCAAATAATATTGATATTAGAATTGTTCTTTTTTTACTTAATCATGAAAGTTTGACTCTGTTAAATGCTTTCCTGTAATATATGCATGCTATATGTGGATTTCTGTGCTGTGTGTATAACTAAATCTAGTTCTTTGCATCCTATATGGTATCTACAACAGCCTTTTTGTTGTTTGTGAGAATATTGATTGTTCAATATGCTAGTATATTTTATTTGTGAGGCAACCCAACATTTCAAAATTTAAAGGAATATACTAGGAATAAAAGAATTTATTCCAATTTAATAAAGTCAAAATATCTACAGGGAATTCAACTTATGTTATTAAGCCTACTGATGCATTTTGGTTGAAAATTAATAGATTTAGAAGAAAACAAGTTTCAAATATGAAGATAATAGATTTTCATGGTGTTTGTTTTATAAAACATATCCTATCATTCAAACAAAGATGGTCTGAAAATGATGTTTTGGATAAAGAATTCACCATGGATTAATTAGAGTAATTGATTCTCTAAAAAAACTATATTGCATCAGGTCTTGATTTGATTCCAAATAGTTTGTTTAAAGAATTTTTTGGTCTATTTAAAACAGCAGTTGGTTAAATTATTTAAATCATTTTATAAATATTCTATTTTCCACAAAACAGAAATGAAATGAAATTAAATTACAAATGGTTTAAAAAAAAAAAAAATCCTTTAATTACTGATTACCATCCTATAGTCTAGTTGACTACTACTAAAAAGTGTTTTACATCATTATTTGATGAACATTTTAATTCTTCAATTGTAAATAATAATTTTTTTCCAGAATGCAATTTATTTTTTATTTAAATAAAGAGATGGCTATCTTTTTACATCATTAACTATTCAATTAAATTTGAGTAAAAAATGTGTAATTGAATAATTACATGTTTATCAATGTAGACAAGACCTTTAACTGTTCATGTTCCTGCTTTGATGAATCAGTTACATTTAAGAGAAGCAGAAAAATTATTCTTTAATGCAGTATCAATTATATTTGCAGAATATCAATATTTTTATCTCATTTTTATTTATCTAGATATTAAACATTCTAGAAAATTGCCCTAATGAGATTCTATCATTCCATATTTATCCAATTTCTATATGTCAAATTTAGAAAATCTGTTTATAGATAATTTGATGGATATAGAATTTGTTAATTTAGTTTTTCATTTTATACAATAAGCAAAACAATATTGCATTGCTTTTGCTCCTTTAAAAGTTTGTTACAATGAAAGATAATTTACTTCATAAATTTCTTCAACCAATATTTCCAAAAATTAGTTGAAAGAAAACAAAAATCAATATTTTTGTAATAATGTTGCTTTCTCAGGGACAACATATACACTAATTGCTTTAATAGTATGTTTTGCATTTAGGTGTGTTCTTAATACTGCATTATTATTATTATATTTTTATTTCTGTATATTACATATTAATGAAAATACAATTCATGTATTTNTTCATATCTTCCATTTATTATTATTTATTTATAATAAATACAATAAAAAAAAGTTGTGTAAGACATAAGATTTCCTCCCCTCCCCCTAAATAACAATAAACCCCAAGTAATATACATAAAATAAGCTAAAACAGAAAGCACGACAACAACAAACAAATATATAAATGCATAAAAATGAAATGAAATCATTAAAAATTATAAAGAATGTATTTATAAATGTATTTAAGACAAGCAAAATTTTCATGTAGTACATGAAAATTTTGCTGTAGATGTTTAATGTTATTCATGTTAGGAGAAATATGATAAAAATAAGACCTTTGTGAAATGAATAGTTGATAAAAGGAGATATAAATATATGATTAATTGAACAAGTTCTGCTAGAGAACTCTTAAGTGAAGCCAATCCAACTGGATATAACCATTAATTTTTGACAAAGTAGGTGGTCAAAATTATCTCAATGTTTTAAGTGTTTATTAAAATTATGTCTTTCTTGCATTCCTTATTCAATTTTTCTAGCAATTTCTTGATATTTTGATTAATATTTACTATCAAAATTATGCCATCTGCATACATTATATGGCTTATATTAATACCATTCACTTTGATCCGTTCTTCATTGTGTCTCTTACACACTATCTCTGGATATCTTGTATATACTGAAAATGAGAAGAGAAATTGACAGTTCTACATCATTCCTTTTTTCTAGTTGTATTTTATCTGATATACTTTCCCTCTTAACTGCTGCTTTGATGTCATTACAAATTAGATCAAGTATTCAAAGAAACTGACTACTTTTCATATGTTTTCATCAGCATTAACATTTTGATTAGATTTTCTTTATTTATTGAGTTGAACATTTGCTTTTGAAATTAAAAAAACATAAGTATATAGCATCATGTTCTGTAATATCTGTGGCATTAAAAATAACTTTTTCAATAATATCAACATATTGCAGTAATGAGAACATAAAAGTACTATTATGGCCTTTGAATTCATAATAATATGTAACAGTAATCAGATGAAATTTATCATTGCTTCCATCAGTGGCTAAAACATGTTTTCTGTTATACCAAAGATAAAATATTTTCTTTTATAGATTTTACTAAACAAAAAACAAGAGTTGAAGTTTTGATTGTGAAAGATATTGGACCTCAGGCCGATCAATAGAAATCAGGAGCCTCGTGTATTTATGGGAGGCGCTCCTTACCGACGTGCTAAATCCATGCAACACTCCCACACTGGATGTGCCTTCTTTGTGGGTCAATTTATATAACAAATTAAGATATCGTCGCTAGCTCCACATTCATATAAAAAAATTTTTGCACATGCGCATTGGCACCACACGCATATTATTCAAGTTCTCGGTATTTAGTTCCATTTTTAGTTATATTCCAAAGCTGTTTTGCCATTAGAGTAGTTTGAAATCGTTATTCGATAAAAGGATATTAACTGTTTTCATCTGCCTGAAGAAGACAAAAATAGTTTCGTCGAAAGCACTAGTAGTTTATAGCAATACTTGTACATTGTTTAACGTCTGGATGATAATTTTCTCGTTTCTTGCTTTTGAAGTTTTGATTCTTGCAAACAGAATTACTCTATTATACCATAGTTTTCTATAGTCAACAATTGAAAAAAGACAGATTATGCTCCACAAGAATTGACAAATAACGGTTTTCTATGAATTCAGTCATTCTCCTCCATGATAAAAATATTACTTAAACTTTTACTTTTTAATTTTTCATTGGTTTTATGCTTTTTATAGGTTGTATGTATGACAGTGACAGTCTTCACATACTCCATAATCAATGCTAAACTTTGCAAAATGTATGTTTTTTTTTATATATTTTCAGTTTAATGAAAAACGGTCACTCATTGGTGTAACTGTCAAGGAAACATTGTGGGACAAGATTCTTTTTACAAACTTCAACAGTGTGTTCACTGGTATATTTAATTTTTTTTTCATAAGAAATTAAATTGATAGGCAATGATCACTTGCAGGTCACTTGGAAAAACCATAAAATTACAGATTACCAATAATACTCCACGACTGTCTTTAAAAATGCTATGATGCCTTTTGCATCCTTTGAATACAGTATTCAAGCTTTTAAATCCTACTAATTTACTTAATCTTAAACGCACTGTTGAGTTGATATTCTAAAATTTACAAACAAGACAAATGTTAAAACTTGATACTCTTTACTCTTATTCACAAATACAATCATTTGCCATATGTATTGCATTATTTTCCATTTCTGGTGTCATATGACACATGAAATAATGAAAAGTATTCCTTACAATTACAAGCGGAAACATGCTGATTTAAATGGTTAGGATATTGTTACTAGTCTAAAAACAATAATTTAAAATTTAAATTTAGCAACATTTTTTTTTGTTATTGGACAAATATAAATATGAAAACCTAAGTGTTTATAAAAATGCACTGCAGTGAACTAGAAGGACAGGCAGAGTATGTAATAAGCTGGCATCTATAATTTTTGGCAGGAAACTATTCATTGATCAACTTTCCACAATAATTTCAGAAGAATCTGTACTATGTAAAGTCAGGTGAAAATCAGAAATAATTATGGAGAATCCATAATGGCCAGAAACTCTGTGTTAAGTATAAAGCTGAATATCCACTTGAGCAATTTTGGCATGCAATTAGATTTTCAAGCTGAAAGAACTTTATTTTGTAAATCAGATGCAGCTAATCAGCAATGAGTATAAACATGATCGGAAGCTTTAACATCATTTTCTACAAAATGGTTCAGTAAATGGACACTTTAAATGACAAACTAATACATTAAATTCATAATTTTCTGGAAATTTTTGATAAAAATGTGATGGAAAATAAAAAGAGAAAAAATGATAAAAATAATAATAAATCAGCATTTCATTTTATTTTTATCCACAAAGAACAGGTATTTTGCCAGAGGTAGATCTAAAAGTGTACAATGGGAAGGCTAACTCAAAAATGAAAAATATTTAAATTATTATTAAGTACCTTTCATTAACATATGCACACAACAATAATATTGAGACAGGTGCAATAAATCAAATTTTTCATCAAAAATGATTTTCAAAATAACATTTTGAAGTTTCAATGAATAAATTTTATTTATTTTTTGTTATCAATAGAAAGACATGAGCACCAGTAGCTCTCTCTCCTCATACCCACCATTGTATGTTGCTAGGATGACTGCATTTGATTTATTCTCCTTCCTTCCTGCCAGATATCATATGAATAAAGTACAAATTGCATAGTGGTTATCAACTGTGCAAATCATATGGAAGTCATTGATTACATATTGGTTTAGTGTGATGAAATTGTTCATTGGACATCCAGCTTATATTTCCTCTCCCTATAAACATTCACATTGTTTTGACTTAACTCAATTTCTTGAGCTAGTGTTTGAACACTAGCTCAAAAAGGTAAGGTTCATAAGGTTTTTTTTCACACATTCTGCATGAGCAAAGATGTATGTAGTTTTTTAGTTTTATATGTATTCATTATTATTGCATGTATTATAATATTGTAATGTTTGAAGATCAAACAAAATATCACAGCAGAAAATCACAAATATACTTTATTTCAAGGTTGAAAGAAAGCGATAATGATGTCTACTTCCTTCTCACTTTCTCACTTGAAGATGATGATCAAGTCTTTCTTAGAATCTCTAGATGAACTTAGATTTTTAAAGATATATAATGTTATATAAATTTATTAAAAAATTGTTTTGAGGAGAGTGATTACATAAAGAGAAATGAATCTTTATTTTCTGTAATTCTTATCTTGGATTACTCTATTACTTTTTGGATTATAATTCTAGCTAAACAATCTTAATGGAATATTTTAAGTAGTATCAAATATAAGTTTTTCTTCAACATTGTCTCAAAAATTTATTAATCATCATTTTGTACAAATTCAGATCTTCCGTGTCTCGCTTCTAAACAATGATTTATATCCAAAAAAAATTCTTGTAGCTTCATTTTATTCTTAATCATTAGAAATATACTGTATAAACATATAAATTTTTAAACTGCCAGTTACAACTTCCATAATATTACATATATAGTATTGAAATTCAAATTTTACAATTTGTCAATAAAACTTTCCATAAAGGTAACATAGTACCAATGCTTTATGAAGAATATTAGTTTTGAAACATGATATAATGATAAATTTATATCCAGTTTTAAAAATAAAGTTTTCATAAAACTAGAAAAAGTGTGTTCTAATTTGATGATAGAGACAGCTTTTTGAAAAAAATAAAAATAAACTAAACAGTATGAATTAATAAGTTCTTACAAGGCCAATGATCACTTTAAGGATAAATTTGTGTTATTTCAATAACTTCAGAAATTAAACAGTTCTTTAATTAAAAAATTAGGAAAATAAATTAATTTTTACTAAATTGGAATTGTATATTTCACATAAGGAATATTGTAACTTTTCAAATAATTTAGGAATGACAATTTTCTTCTGTTTTATTAAGAATATAACTTAATTTTAAATACCCCCATTCTGCCATTGACAAGTAATGTTTTAGGAGTTTATTATCGTCAAGTTTTTGCAAAAACCTACCTCTGTATATCTTAATTTACAATTAAGATAAAACAGATCGAGAAATGCAGAATAAAAATACAGCAAGGAGATAGTGATTCATTTCAAAATAAAGAAATTCTTCAATTCATAAAGATAAAGAAAAAAAATGAAATTGCTTATTTCTTCTCTTAAAATGTTTATCTATTAGTTTCAAATTTTAAGCTATTGAAGAATATATTTGAAAAAAAAAACTATACATACTGTTATTAATTATATTTAAAAAATTTTAAAATTATTAATATTCCAACTGGATTAACTAGCAAATCTACCTGATGATGATAACATAACAAAATGAATAATAAATTGTTTAAAAAATTTTCAAAACTATATAATTAAAACAAACAGAATTGAAAAAAAATGAAACATTCTACAATTTATGATGATAAATGAAAAAAAAACTTAAGATTAACAATAAAAATAAATAAAAAATTATAAAAGATCAAACTTGCATTTGCAAAATATAGATTATTACAACTTTTCTTTTTAACATTTTATAATATTTTTATTTTACTTTTTTATTTATAAAATTCTGATAATGTCATTCCTCAGAATTCTCCAGTAAACATTAAAAATTAAATCATAAAAGTTCATAATACTGCATGCAGCAATACATAACACACATGTTTTGAAAACTAAAAAATATTTACATTAAACATTATTATATACATTACTATTTTAATTTATAACAATTCTATTTGATTTTACAACTGATACTTTTTATATTTACATATAATAGTTGCAAAAAAATACAGGGAACCTGGTTATCTCGAATTCGTTGAAATGTTTATCTTGAATGGAGTTTTGATATGGTATTTCCATAAATTCTCCAAACTTTTAATTTTAATTTTCTATTAAATAAAATAATTAACATTTATCATTGAAAAAACTAATCAGAAACTTTCTATAAATCACGAGAATGATGTATAGGTAAAAATAAACATTGTGTCATGTGACAGAAAAAGGGTCAGAGGCTTCCAGCTTGTGTGATTCAGATACTCTAACAGCTATTCGAACCTCCTTTTTGTTTTATTTGGTTGCAGATGAATTTCTCCAACTAAATTATGTAATAAATAAATATATTTTTGATAAATTAACTTTAAAAAAATATCACTTTACAATCCTATGTAAAAATTTTAACCTTTGTGGCAAAATTTTAAAAACAACTATTATAGAGTTTTTTCTTTTTTGTGATAAAATACAGCAAACAAGTCGATTCCAGGCACAAAATATTGCAATGAAATATCGTTAATAAACATCTTGGAATGAATGGATCAACAATTAGGGAAATAATTTCTCAGTAGCTTGTTTACCCATTCAGTTAAGCATTTTTGAGTTTCAGAAAAACAGAGAGGTTTACATTGACAACAATTCTACATAATATAAGACCCACGGAATTGTCATATGGATAATTTATTATGGATCACCAAGAAACCAATGCACAAAATCTTGATTTTTAGCTGAACTGTCATAACTTGAAACTTTCTAACTCTAAAATTTTCCCTGACTGATTAAAGTTAACCAGGTTCCAATGTACTCAAATAAAGATATTTTTGTCTACTTTAATATGTAAAATTATTTTCAAATGAAACTTCTATTCTACAAAAAAATTTATATTCATCTAAGATTAAAATAAGCATTTTTATGAAAATTCTAATCAAAATATTTAAATATTATTATCAAAAAATAATTATAAATAATAAATATACCAAAAGTTATATTGGTTATATTATATTATATAAAATATTTTAAAATTATGAATTCTTTAAGTATTAAATATATTAGTTAGTTACTTACGTTGTGACTGTGAAGTGCTCTTTAATTTCATCCTTGCTAATCTTTCTGGAGATGTTACAACACCTCCAGACATTTCAGCACGTTTTGTATTAGGCCTTGCTAAAGAATAAAATTTTAAAAATTTTAATTTTAGGAAAACTTTTATATATATGTAATAATTTTGTAAAATCTTAAATGTTTAATTATCAAATTACTCATAAAACAAAGTATTCTACAATATAATAAAATAATATAATGAAAAAAACTTAAATTTCATACAGGTAAATAATATCATTTTACAAAACAAAAATTAATGAATATAAAGATAAATAACTGTGTAATAAAATATTAATAATAACTGAATTAAATAAAAAGTACTCTTTCTCTTAAGATAAAAATAATATAATAAAGGCCAAGTCACAAATACCCAATATTCATGATAAAATAAATAAATACTTCTAGCAGTTCTAATGCCTTTAACAAAATTATCTATCTATTCTATCTGTTTATGAAAAAACAAATTATAAAGATAGCATTTTAAACAGCCAATATTATTTCCTTCTAGTCATTCAATTTGGCTTTAATAATATTACAATAAATACTTTTTAATACCACAGTTTTCTGCAGATAGCCCATGGAATATCTGTATTTAAAAATCAAACAGAAAGCAGATTCATGTTATGCAAGGATTAAAGTTATCTGCTAACTTTAACTTGCAATTTTGAACTCATCTAACAACTTTTCCACTGTCTAAACTTACTAAATGTATTGATATTTTTAAAACTGAAAAAGCTTTTGCACACTGCAGACACATTCATCTATCATCACAATATTTCCTGAAACTATCAAAGACACACATGTATAATTTGCTTTTAATTCTCTCTTGATCATTTACTGTACATCAATCCATGCTTTAATTAATAATCTTACTCTTCAACTGAAAAATAATAAATTTCCAGTAATTTCTTCTGTCTATATAATAACTCTCAGGAAACTATTCAGAAGTTGTTTTAAAAGTCAACTGCTGAGTTTGTTCTGTTTAAGTTCATTAAAATGAATAAAATGTTCAGAAGCTGAATGATCAAACACTCAAACACATGACATCAAATAATATTGATATTAGAATTGTTCTTTTTTTACTTAATCATGAAAGTTTGACTCTGTTAAATGCTTTCCTGTAATATATGCATGCTATATGTGGATTTCTGTGCTGTGTGTATAACTAAATCTAGTTCTTTGCATCCTATATGGTATCTACAACAGCCTTTTTGTTGTTTGTGAGAATATTGATTGTTCAATATGCTAGTATATTTTATTTGTGAGGCAACCCAACATTTCAAAATTTAAAGGAATATACTAGGAATAAAAGAATTTATTCCAATTTAATAAAGTCAAAATATCTACAGGGAATTCAACTTATGTTATTAAGCCTACTGATGCATTTTGGTTGAAAATTAATAGATTTAGAAGAAAACAAGTTTCAAATATGAAGATAATAGATTTTCATGGTGTTTGTTTTATAAAACATATCCTATCATTCAAACAAAGATGGTCTGAAAATGATGTTTTGGATAAAGAATTCACCATGGATTAATTAGAGTAATTGATTCTCTAAAAAAACTATATTGCATCAGGTCTTGATTTGATTCCAAATAGTTTGTTTAAAGAATTTTTTGGTCTATTTAAAACAGCAGTTGGTTAAATTATTTAAATCATTTTATAAATATTCTATTTTCCACAAAACAGAAATGAAATGAAATTAAATTACAAATGGTTTAAAAAAAAAAAAAATCCTTTAATTACTGATTACCATCCTATAGTCTAGTTGACTACTACTAAAAAGTGTTTTACATCATTATTTGATGAACATTTTAATTCTTCAATTGTAAATAATAATTTTTTTCCAGAATGCAATTTATTTTTTATTTAAATAAAGAGATGGCTATCTTTTTACATCATTAACTATTCAATTAAATTTGAGTAAAAAATGTGTAATTGAATAATTACATGTTTATCAATGTAGACAAGACCTTTAACTGTTCATGTTCCTGCTTTGATGAATCAGTTACATTTAAGAGAAGCAGAAAAATTATTCTTTAATGCAGTATCAATTATATTTGCAGAATATCAATATTTTTATCTCATTTTTATTTATCTAGATATTAAACATTCTAGAAAATTGCCCTAATGAGATTCTATCATTCCATATTTATCCAATTTCTATATGTCAAATTTAGAAAATCTGTTTATAGATAATTTGATGGATATAGAATTTGTTAATTTAGTTTTTCATTTTATACAATAAGCAAAACAATATTGCATTGCTTTTGCTCCTTTAAAAGTTTGTTACAATGAAAGATAATTTACTTCATAAATTTCTTCAACCAATATTTCCAAAAATTAGTTGAAAGAAAACAAAAATCAATATTTTTGTAATAATGTTGCTTTCTCAGGGACAACATATACACTAATTGCTTTAATAGTATGTTTTGCATTTAGGTGTGTTCTTAATACTGCATTATTATTATTATATTTTTATTTCTGTATATTACATATTAATGAAAATACAATTCATGTATTTATAATTCTAAATATTATTATTATTATATTTTTATTTCTGTATATTACATATTAATGAAAATACAATTCATGTATTTATAATTCTAAATATTATTATTATTATATTTTTATTTCTGTATATTACATATTAATGAAAATACAATTCATGTATTTATAATTCTAAATATTATTATTATTATATTTTTATTTCTGTATATTACATATTAATGAAAATACAATTCATGTATTTATAATTCTAAATATGGCTACTAGAGAAACTTATTCATTGCATTACTGCTTGAAAACATATCCATTAATAACATCTTTGTGTGTTTGTTAATAAAACAATTGGAGTTTATAGTGCTTAATATCAAGCTATCATAAAAGGTTGATAAGTAATAAGTGTTTTACAATGTTCTAAATTTTATTTTTTGGAAATTAGTTGGGATATTTGGATAAACTGGGAATGAGTTAAATTTATCACAAAATTAATGGAAAACATTTCCTAATAACCAAATTCAATATTTGAAATCACTTTCAGGAATGCATTAACATTTGTATAACAGTATATGCCTGTAGTTGAAATTTTATTAAATTTTAAAATTTAAGAAAATTTCTACTGCATAATATTCCAGGTTGAAACATCATAATTTCTTAACAAATCTTATTTCTAAGTAAATAAATTTTCGGAAGATTTAAAGATTCATTTATCAATTTAACTACATAATAACCGATTATAAAAGATCTTAAATTTGCAATAATATAAAATAACAATAGTTTAAAAATATATTCTATAATGCTTTCAAATTCTAAATTGGTTAAAACAGTTTTGAAAGGAAAACTAAACATTAATAGAATTTAACCAAAAACCAAACAAATTATATTAATGTTGTTCCTTTTGAATGGCATTAAAATAAACTATTTCAACTTACGCAAAGATGCCACAGAACCTTTAGTCATAATTGCTCTTGCTCTCACTTTAGCTCTTGTAGCAGCTGCCAAATCTATAGCACTTGTTGACCTCAAAGGTGACTTTATATTATTTTCTGCATGCATATTACCAAATAAAAATTTAAACAAACAAACAAACAAAAAAAAGTAAAATAAATATTGCATAAACAAAATAAAAATTCCCCCACAGACTTCAGAACTGAATTTAGCAATTAAAAAGAAATAAAATAATAAATCTCAAAAAAGAAGAACTGACTTACCAGGTTCACTCTTTGGACTAGTAAGTATTGGTATACCAGATCTTCTTGCTGAGTTTGCCAATGTCATAGAACGACTATGATTAAAAAACTTTTTACTTAATATATAAAAATTTTATAACAAGTAAATATTTAAGATTATTTAATATATAAAATATTACCATAATTTCTTGCATTATCTGTGTTTTAAAGTCAATTTGAAAACTGATACAGGTCTAGCTGTAAAATTTAATTGCAATTATGAGCTCATTCCTTTGTCTAAACTTTCTAAAAAGAAAAAATCCATTATCTGCCATCATAATTCTTTTGGAAACTATCAAAGCATGTATGAGCATGACTCAGTTTAGTTTCTCCTGGCTCCTCACTATTTTAATTAGTGTCCGAACACTAAAAATTTTCCTATCCAGATATCCATATTTTTGTTACCCGGCATTTGAAATATTTTGAATAATGTATGCTTTCAAGTTATTTTGTACTCAAAGGCATAGTGTTTTTGACTTTTCAAACTTCATATTAATTTATATTTTCTCTTACAATTTAACTATGTTGCATTAAATTTTTCCATTACTAGAGAGTAATTTTATATGCTTTGTTTAAAATCTCACAAACACAAGTATTGCATTACTTTTAACTTTAATTTTTATTTAAACATGTAATAAAATTTATTTATTATTCATTTGCATTATAAAAATCACATTACTTTAAAATCAGTCAAAATCAGACTGTGCAAACTGTGATTTTACTGTGTATATTTTAACATTTATAGAGTTGCGACTTCCAGGGCTAGTATATTAAATTACATATTAATTCAATAAATTTATTAAATAAAAAGCACAAAAAAGTAACCAGATTCTCTCCATGATAATACTTCCTTTCTAAATGACTGCTCTTCCTGGAGCAACAATTCATCCAGAGAAGTAGGGAGTAAAATATAGGAATGGACAACAAAGAAGTTATCCATCCAACACTGCCTTTTTTGGCAACATCTTGATTTGGAAAAGAGGACAAAAACACATAAAAGGACCAGAAAAGGTCAAAAGGGTCATTCAGTTTGCCAGATGCCAGGTCAGTCCAGTTCAGTGGTTGTCCATCAGTCTAGTTTCAGTCCCCAAGCCTATCTCCTCACTGTTCTCCCTGCCAGCCCAAAATTCCAATAACAGCCATTTCCATTCCAATCCTTGTTCATCATAAATTAATCTTTATTGAAAAGGACCAATTCATGAATATCAAAGACATCAGTCATTTTATTAACTAGGTATTTATCAGTCCATAAACATATGTAAACTTGCTCTCTCATAGGTAGGTGGAAATAGTTTATTAGTTCATGAGATAATATCAGACTTAAGAAAGGGCTGTCATTAAGTGTTTTTGGATTATTTTATATTAAATGTTGAATCATTTTGCTTCTATTAGATGGCTTTAACTTGTTATGTGTAGTTATAATTTTATATAATACAGTTAAATAAATCTAGTTTGTTTTAGTTCATTTTTGTAGTTGAATGCACTGCTTCTGAAGCTCCCTGTCTCTCTTATTTCCCCTCCTCCATCTGTTACTCCATAAAGTCCCACACATGTGGCTGTTCATGCATGTATAAATGGTTCCTGTGAGCAAAAAGTTACAGGTGGTGTCAGACCTGACCCAAGGGTGCTGCCTTCTTGTTCAAAGAGTAATAAATTATAATACAGATGTTTATTTTCTTTTACTGAGAATTACTGATAATTTTGAAAATTTAAATTCCATATATTTTTTTTAAAATATTCTAATCAATTTTATGAAGAATTATAAACAACAAGAATAGTAATGGAAAACATCAAGGCTAGCCATGAAATTAGTTCAGACATACCCTTAGTATAGGAAAACCTTGTTTAATGTAATTAATTAATCCAGCAATTAATGCAAACTAATCAAAACTGCACTAATTGAATAGATTAAATAACAGAAATAATTATAATTATTCCATTTATATACCTAAATTAATACATGTAAGCTATGTTAGAGGATAAATCCCTTAAATGTAACTTCATCTTGTTTCCACTCCTGTAATGTGTTGCATCACTTGCAGTGACACAATTATACCTTGTCACATTTTCCACAGTTTAATTTCTTTTTCTTCCTCTCAGACTGGAAGAAAATATTACAGCCATCATAGAAAAAAAAATAAATTACATTAACTAAAAATACCCATTTACAGCACGAAATAGTATCATTTCATATAATCACATTAAATGATTGTTGCTACTGTGTATCAAAGTTGCATTACATGAGATTTTCCTTATAATATAATATCAAGTACCATATTTAAATTTTAAAATATTTTGAGACTAGATCTAATCATATGTAATTATGCAAAATTATGAAGTTTATAAAACAATTTACAATACACTTAATAATCTAACAACAATAAAATTTCAAAATGTTAACTCTTTTTGAACCCCTCAGACTCTGAATTTGAGAGGAAGTGTTAATGAATTAGTCTAAAAATAAAAAACTACAAAGAAATACAACTGATAAATTTTTTTTAATTAAAATTTTAAATGATAAATTTGGTTGTCAAAACAAAAAGTTAATTTCTGAATAAGTTTTCTTCTAGTTTATTAATATTTTAATAAATTCAGGAAGTTGAGTTACATAAACGTGATTTTTATACTTGTTTGAATATTTAATCATACCAGCATCATACAATAATTTTAAATTTTAAAATCATTCTAGTAGCATTCTAATTTTTTATCAAACATTTTGATCTGAAGCACATCCCAATTAGAATCGAAAGCACTTGTCGTAGCACATTTATATTAAAATATATTTGCTGGTTTAATTTTGAAGGTTTCATTGATGTTATTTACTAAATTCAGGAAATTTATTGTGAAAATTTTTTTTTAAATTTACACTTTTGTAACAGATAAAAAGATTTATTAATGAATGAGAAAAAGCAGGTTATTATTATTATTTTCAAAGTCATATAGTTTTATGATTGTAGATTAATATTATTTGACTATGTATGCATAATTATTAAAGATGCAACGAATATTCAGTTACTATTCGGTATTCGGCCTATGTTTTGCTATTCGGCCAAATACTGAATATGTAATCACTATTCAGCCAAATACCAAATACCTAAAAACAGGAGTAAGAAATAACAAAAACACAGTAAATTAATCATTTCGGTAACTTTTATTAATGCTGAACATACCTTTCAAGTTTGAGAAAGTGCAATTTTTTTGCTTATTTATGTAAAAGATCAAAGGAGAAGTAATATAACTAAGTTATTTTTTTAAGAGATCAAAAAAAGGTAACAAATCAAATGAAAACTACCTACTTATTATGTAGTTTAGTCATCTATATACTCGTATATAAAAGAACAAGTCCTGATAGGATAATTAATGCAGAGCCAAAACTACTGGTGCTAGANCTTTAAAAAAATATCACTTTACAATCCTATGTAAAAATTTTAACCTTTGTGGCAAAATTTTAAAAACAACTATTATAGAGTTTTTTCTTTTTTGTGATAAAATACAGCAAACAAGTCGATTCCAGGCACAAAATATTGCAATGAAATATCGTTAATAAACATCTTGGAATGAATGGATCAACAATTAGGGAAATAATTTCTCAGTAGCTTGTTTACCCATTCAGTTAAGCATTTTTGAGTTTCAGAAAAACAGAGAGGTTTACATTGACAACAATTCTACATAATATAAGACCCACGGAATTGTCATATGGATAATTTATTATGGATCACCAAGAAACCAATGCACAAAATCTTGATTTTTAGCTGAACTGTCATAACTTGAAACTTTCTAACTCTAAAATTTTCCCTGACTGATTGAACCACAAAGAACAGGTATTTTGCCAGAGGTAGATCTAAAAGTGTACAATGGGAAGGCTAACTCAAAAATGAAAAATATTTAAATTATTATTAAGTACCTTTCATTAACATATGCACACAACAATAATATTGAGACAGGTGCAATAAATCAAATTTTTCATCAAAAATGATTTTCAAAATAACATTTTGAAGTTTCAATGAATAAATTTTATTTATTTTTTGTTATCAATAGAAAGACATGAGCACCAGTAGCTCTCTCTCCTCATACCCACCATTGTATGTTGCTAGGATGACTGCATTTGATTTATTCTCCTTCCTTCCTGCCAGATATCATATGAATAAAGTACAAATTGCATAGTGGTTATCAACTGTGCAAATCATATGGAAGTCATTGATTACATATTGGTTTAGTGTGATGAAATTGTTCATTGGACATCCAGCTTATATTTCCTCTCCCTATAAACATTCACATTGTTTTGACTTAACTCAATTTCTTGAGCTAGTGTTTGAACACTAGCTCAAAAAGGTAAGGTTCATAAGGTTTTTTTTCACACATTCTGCATGAGCAAAGATGTATGTAGTTTTTTAGTTTTATATGTATTCATTATTATTGCATGTATTATAATATTGTAATGTTTGAAGATCAAACAAAATATCACAGCAGAAAATCACAAATATACTTTATTTCAAGGTTGAAAGAAAGCAATAATGATGTCTACTTCCTTCTCACTTTCTCACTTGAAGATGATGATCAAGTCTTTCTTAGAATCTCTAGATGAACTTAGATTTTTAAAGATATATAATGTTATATAAATTTATTAAAAAATTGTTTTGAGGAGAGTGATTACATAAAGAGAAATGAATCTTTATTTTCTGTAATTCTTATCTTGGATTACTCTATTACTTTTTGGATTATAATTCTAGCTAAACAATCTTAATGGAATATTTTAAGTAGTATCAAATATAAGTTTTTCTTCAACATTGTCTCAAAAATTTATTAATCATCATTTTGTACAAATTCAGATCTTCCGTGTCTCGCTTCTAAACAATGATTTATATCCAAAAAAAATTCTTGTAGCTTCATTTTATTCTTAATCATTAGAAATATACTGTATAAACATATAAATTTTTAAACTGCCAGTTACAACTTCCATAATATTACATATATAGTATTGAAATTCAAATTTTACAATTTGTCAATAAAACTTTCCATAAAGGTAACATAGTACCAATGCTTTATGAAGAATATT